GACTTTTACGCCGAGTCCTTATTCTCGATTCTCTCTTTCCGTCTCTTTCTCGCGCACACACACATATATACACTCACGTACATACCGCCACGGAAACTCTGACGTTCAATTTCCCTTTTCTTCTTTCGCGAACACGACGCGAGCCGCCATCTCGTTAGTAACGCGATCTTTTTTACGCGCGAGACAAGTAATTTTCCGTTGTCGTCTCTCTTCCTCTTTCGCTCGCTCGCTCGCTCGTCCGCTCTTTCCCGCCTTTCTTTTTTTCGTCCATCGCGCCGAAATTGCCGGGGCTCTCGCGTTACCGCAATTAATTTTCCGGCGGCTGGAGACGCGACTATCAATCGGCGACGGCGAGGACGTCCTTTTCACGTCGCGAACGCGCGCCCATCCTTCACGCGAAACTGAATCTTTATTACAGCGAAACACTATCCTCCTTGGTAAGACGGGGAAACTTGTTTCGCGCCGGTGCTCGCTAGGAAGATCTATGCACGGTGGTGCAGTGCGCCGATGTCTTTAGTTTCACACCTCGAGGATCCCGACGGGCTGAAAGCGTAGGATCCTGTTCTTAAAACAGGGTAAGTTTGACGAAATGATAACTCGGTCGAGAGGCGCGAAAGTGGACGCGTCGTAAAACGAAAGTAAACCCGACTGTGACGTCCTCTCGCAGGATCGGTTCGCCGAGTGGAGATGTAAGCTGCGTGTAAAATTAGGTTCGCTGCAAAAATACCGGTTATCGGTCGATGTCAACAGGTACAATACCTAATCTCGATATCAATAAATGATATTGATATCGATACTGAGATGGTATCGGAACATTCCTACTCGCAAGGAGTGACACGCGTTTCGGCTCTATGTAAACCAGAATCGAAAGGAATGAAGAGGCACGCAAGGGTAAAAAGTAATCACGTCGAATCGTATCGGGAGCGGAAGTCGCTTTATAAATCATCGTTCGTACGACCCGCCGCCGCTCCGTTGTCGTTTTACGAGGTAACTTGCAGCGCGGGGATCCTTCAGGAATTCGAGTCATGTCTCGCCGATGGAATGCCGCGTTGTGAAGGCAAGCCGGGGCGGGCGGATAAAAGCGATCAACTACAGAAGACGACCTCTTACCGCACCTTATACGTGTAATAACGATTAACATCGATGGTGCACCTGTCGCTCCTGTATATTGTCGCAGCTTACGCTCATTGGCGGGGTGCTCTTAGCTCCCGACGTTATCCCCGTGCAGCCAGGTATTTTCGCGCGACCTACTTCCGCGTCAAGATTCGGATCGTAATATTCGAAACGCGAACAAGAAGCAAGAGCCATGTATATCACCGGATTAATTAAATACGTGCCGGTCCGTTACTTGTTGACTTAATCGATGGCTCGATTTTGCGTACCGATTTCGACTATTTGCACAACGAAGGGGAACTCGGAACGTAATGGAACTTGGAGAGGTCTTCGAAAATTCCGAATCGCGCGAAAGGGAAGATTTGCGAAAGTCTCGGGTTCCGACACTCCTCTGGATCCTCCTGCGCGATGACTTGACGCCGAAACTCACGAGAATCTCGAATTTCTCCGCGATCTCGCAATATTTTTAATAACGTTCACGGCAGAATTGCCGCGCATGTTGACGTACCTGTTGCACTATTATCGCGATTGTTCCCGCGAACAGCGGCGAAAGGGTGCGCACGTGCGTGGTTTCGCGGTGAACATCGAAACAATTCGCGTTTTGCCTCAGTCCCGCCAATCTCGATTACCATAGCTCCGATGAGAGCGGCTTCCGTCGGCTTCCGTCAGCTTCGAGTTTGTCAACAGCCGGCTCGTGGAATACCGACGCACCATCAAAGTGATTAGGTGTTTGTCATTCGTGCGGGCTAGATAGTTCGATTGAATTCCTAACTCCAAAAAGTGGTTTTAATTATCGACTCCGCCGTCGAGTGTGGCGGGATAGTGGAGAAGCAATTAGCTTTTTGCGCGCCGGGCCTGGCCCCTTTCCCACATCCGCGTCCGCTCAAAGGAGAGAAATTCTTGCGAGAATTAAATGTCAATCAGCCATGACGTTCATTAAGCGGCGCCGTTTGTCCCGGCCTTTTTTCCCGCGTCCTGCACCAAAGAGGGACAGAGAGGAGAAGCGGTAGAAGAGAGAGAAAGAGAAAGAAAGAGAGGGAGTTCGTACTGTGTCCTCTATGTGTTCTAATCCGGATCATCGGCCTGTTTTCGTCGATTCGTCGGCAAAGCCTCCGTCCACGCAGAACGCGTCCGCGATTTTTCGCAATATGCGATACACGATGCGATACGCGATAAAAATGGCGGTCCGTGCGGTCCATGCGAATCGAGTTATTCTGGAGAGACAATTTTTTCTCGTTTCACTTTTTTTTTTTTATTTAAACAGACAAGGTCCCGCTTGGAGACTTTTCTGGAATCTGATTGGAATTCTGATTTCCCTAAAAATTACGGATTCTGATTGAAAAGATGTATGAAGATTCGAATTAGAAATAATCTATCAATACGATTCTAAATGGAGCCCAGATAAATTTCACTGTCCAAAGTTTACCCAAAGTTTTTTTTCTTCTTTAGATTTCTATTTTATATTTATTTTATGTTGAATACAAAAATATCTCTGAAAAACTTCAGACAGAGAAAATGAGATCTGACTGGGATCTATTCCGATCCAACTAAATAAAGTTGCGACACAAAATGAGAAATCCAGACAGATTCCATTTGCTCTATTCAACATTTTCCTAAAGTTTTCTCATAATTGGGATAAGAATAGGATTCCTATTTGATATCGCAATATGTTACACTTATTTAGAATAAGTTTGGGCAATCTGATCAGAATCTACGCTATATTTGGGAATGTTTGGAGAATTTCCATACGGAATGTACATTATGATGTCACGTTCATTGAACGCATCAGCGGCATGAGAAATTGCTCTGTCTCTCTCTCTCTCTTTCTCTTACGAATGATTCCCGCGCCGTTCGCAAACGAACACCAAAGTATAACTCGCGCGAATATTCCGCGCCCGGCGATGTAACGCAACAATGCTTTCCCCGAGTTTCTTACAACGGACGGGGCATTCGCGCTATGCGGTGCGCGATAGACACGTTGTAACTTTGATAAATGGTAACGCGAGAACAGGCAGCCACTCCTTCCCCGCGGTGCTTAGACACGGCAGCACTTCTTTGCCGGCTGGCTGCCTTTTCACGGTGGCGGCGGTGGCGGCAGGGTAGGCGCTTTCCTTTGCATAAAACATAATTACCCGGAGCGCGCCCGGAGTAATGCCGAGTGCTCTCGGAACACAAAAGGCGACGATCACGCGCCTCGAGGTTCCACGGGTAGCGAGCGAGCCGAGGTGTTTCTTCGCGAGAGAGAGAGAGAAAGAGGGAGGGAGGGAACGTAATTCACCGCGCGTTTAGGATCAAATGTGTGCATCCATTTCCGCCGCGAGGTGTGGCGGTTCGTTTCGCCTACCTCGCGCGAGCGAATACGAGTGTCCATGATACTCGCAGGCGCACACACGTGTGAATGATCGGAGACGCGTGTTTCCGAGGCTTTCACTCTGAAATTTATCCGGACCCTTTGAAGAGGCCGGACGAGTCGGTAGTTTCCGCCGGCCCCCTCGAAATTTCCCATGAATTTCCCGCGACTCGAACTCTCGATGTCCCGGCCCAGGAAAATGCTCTTTCCCGTCATCCCGGCCTCTCTCGTCATCGATCCGACCTTCCTGGCCGGAGTCGAAAGTGTAGAAATAGCCGCGCGTGGCCATTCGTATTCACGGTTACGTCCCCGACGGCAGTTCTCATAAGTTTTACCTCCGACTTCTCCGTATTCAATTTGCGTGCCGCACTGTGACGGCGGTCTTTTCTCATTTTTTCCCTTATACCTCCGCGAGAAACCGTTCACCGTGAGTCGCAACTTGGGCGATCGCCTGTTCGCTTTTCCGCGCGGCACGCCGCCCTTCGTTCATTGCGACGAAGGAAGGGCGGATGAGCAGTCCGAGACAGCTTCCTCGGCGCTGTTCTCGTCTCAGGGGCTGATTCCGGGCGTTTCCGACGAGCCGTGAAAAATCTCGGATATATCTGCAACGCGCGCGGATCCATCGATCTTCGCTTTCGCGTCCACGTGCACTCGCGTTAAGGTATACATTACCTACCCGCGCGCGGTACAATAGCACCATCCGGAGCTTTTGTGCGAGAACCTAAGTCCGTTCCTCCCTCCTCCTTCGGCCTCCGTAGCGGTGGGGAAGAAGCGTCGCTCGTAATGGATGTAAAACGTATGCGGCTTGGTCCATTCTTTATCTTATACGTTACCGTACACACACGTAACTGCGGGGATGCCTCCAAGTAAGCGTGCATTCGTAGCAATATACTTCGCCCGTGGAAATGGAAATGGAATCGCTTCTGCCTTTCGCGTACTGCCTGCCTGCCTGCCTGCCGACTCGTATCGTGTTTCGACGGTGTAAATGGGCCGGTCGGCAAATTTATATGGCCATGCTATGTACACGGGGCACGGTATACCTTTCCGTGGAAGGGACCTTTGGCGTTGATAGTGTTGTCACACCGTACTTTCTTGCGACCGCGTATTCCGGCTTCCTGTCCGTCCACCGTGTGTAATTTTTACTCGGGTTATTGCATTTCCCGCATAACGTTGTAGTAACCAACGCGTTGCTTGCAAAAGAGAGACTCGCAATCAAGGAATGATATTTCGAACATATGAATCCGTAACATCGTTTTAAATAATTCGAAATAGCACGAACGAAACTTAACTTTGATCGTATGAATAACAAGTGTCGTCAATTTTAAATTGACGCTTTCAATAAAAAAATTACGTTAGAATATAAGAATATTTATTTATATGAAAAAAACAGCGTGTATTTTGGTCTAAAGCACGCGAGGTGTACAAATAAAATATTCGACGGTTCCGTCTTTAGCGCGTCTTCTCAATTATCTGAAGTCGCGCGAGATGACTGATCACGTGACTGATGACGTAGGCGTCGGCCATTTCGTCCCCGGACGCAGGCACGAACACGTCGCGCGTTACGACGCTCGCTCTTTTTCGATCTCCGTAGATCGATTGAAGTGTTTGCGAGGCGAATTACGATGTTGTACACGCAACCGTTATGCTGTGCTCGTTGTGAACAATAGCGAGATACCGAAATTCGGAGGGTAAGTCACCGTATCGGGTCGCCGCCGAATTCGAAAGCTCTAACGTACGCTCGACGCGCCATAATCTCGGTGCGTCGGCGTCAAGATTGCCTTCTGTCGCTATGATCAACCAGATAAACCGCTATTTTTACAGATCTGGCGGAACCTGTGAATGTACCATGAGTATCGGGAGTAGCTGTTCCGGACGTGGATACCGTTAGCGGACGATCAGTTTTAAGGTTAAGTTAGGTTGAGAACGGCGCATCGGATGCTGGGAGCAGCTCGTCACTTCATGGACTTCGTTGGCCGTCGTGCAATGGTGTGTGTATACTGAACGCTCACAATGCATGGTTTTACGTAACGCATGAGTAGATATAAGTCCCATTTGATTTTGACCGAAAATAGAAAGGGCAATATACTACTGCTCTTACACCTGTAAATATCCGGATGGTTTAATATTTGAATCGTATTTGAATCGAAATAATCATTATCCGATTAATCGAGTACGCACATGTGCATTTCCCATGTAGCCCGGATATTTACCGTAAATATTGGAATTTGCCTATGAATATGTACGGCGCGAGACACATTACGATGTCATTATATCAACATCGTGATAAATTAGCAAAGATCTGTGAACTCGATCGCTTACGAACGATTTGTTCGATACATTATTCGGCGCATCATCATGTGAAATGCACTTCGCAAATGGAAGCTCGTGATTTGCAAAGTAATGCTCGAAATTATTAACGCGTATTCACGTCGAGAAACGGGAGCTATCTTTATCGCAGTCGAGAATAATTTTCTGAATTTCTCATGTGTATGTTTAAGCAACGGAAACGTAATAATGATGCTGATTTAATGGTGGACGGATTAAATATAGATACGGTATAAAATAATAAGGCCGTGCGATAAACGGTAATTTAATTTGTAGCTTTTACGCTATCGTTGATCACCCGCCGTGTGTTTAATAACTCCGGTTGCTTTGTTCGATAAATACAGCGGTCTACAAGTTCATTAGCCGTTCCCGACTCGAAATATAGAACCGTGAATCTCGCAATTGCCAATTTATAATGCCGCTAATAATGCTCATTCGGCTGTAAATTTCATCTCAAGTCTTCTAACGCTCTTTAACTTTGTAATTATAATAAATTCAAATTTAAGTTTCTATTGATGCTTTCAGACACAATTTTCGACCTCATTATTTCTTCCTTTTTGCCTTTCCTCCTTGCTTGCTTATATATTTATGTTGTATTGTACCATTTGTTGTTCTTATAGAATTTATTGTTGTTTATTCTAAAGTCTATTTCATTCGTTCATTTAATATATATTCACTTAGCAATTTTTAGAAAATTATTTAATATTCGTTTATTGCATTTTCTCTCTATCTGTGACCAAGTAAATTACATAATTAACACATTGTTTGTTGATATTAAGTACGAAGATTGAATGCATGTAAAATATTAAAATAATCAAATATCACATAATTCCGAGGCATCAAGAGAAGACAATAGTCTGTACAGCGTTGTACCTTGGTCCTTTAAGTTCAACGGAATTTGCACGTTAATGCAGAAGCAACATTTCGACTCGGGTTGCCATGTACGCGTGTATTAGTTCTTAGGCGTTGTTCACAGATCGTTGCAACGAAGATACCAAGAAAATTATGAAAATGAAACAAATGTGATTTTACATATTCAAATGAAGAAGAAAAGAACTGAAGGTTTTACATAATTATACTATGTGAACTCTCTCTACGACATAGTAAGGAATTTTGTATTAAAAACAGTCCACTGAAATTTTGTGTTACTTTAATATAGGAAATATGCTAAAAAGTACACAAATATAATGTTAAATTAACATATTGTTAACATATGTTGATAATGTGTTAATTTAACAATTTATTTCTGCATCTTTTAACATATACTTTTTAACACATTCCCCATGTTAAAGTAACACGGAATTTCAGTGGGCCGTTCTTTTATCACAAAACTTTTTACTATGTAGTAATAATAATTTTAATACGATAAAATTTTTACAATCGCCATATATTTACGAAGCTACACTTTGAAGTATCCTCGTGCCATGACTTTTTGATAATTCAACTGCACGTTGAAGATTCCGACGCAATAGTTTCTTACGATTGTACTTTGACGATTCTCGTGCAATCGCAGCGACGCAACGGTGTTTCTTACGCGTTCAAATACACTCGGTCGCGATCGGTCGGGAATAAAATTTCGCGGGCGCAAAACGTGAAATTTCCAGATATACCGAGATGTCGTACTATTTTGTTCTCGTACTCCCGGTATTTTCCTGCGCGAGTGCGAGCGAAATACATACGCGCATGTCTAGCGACAACACAAATAGAGACTCGCGTAACTTCGGACGCGCGTTACAATCGCGAATGCAACCGCGGCGACCGAATGTATTATTCCATCGGAACTCTCCTTTCATACTCTTAAATAAACAGCGGAAAAAAACATGGTGCACGCCGCACATCGCGGCGACGATTATCCCGAATTGTCCGAAAAGGGCGGTTCAACAATTACGTCCCGCGGGAGTTTGGGTTTTTTTAATCTCCCCCCTTTCCATTCTTCACAAAGTATTTGCCAATATTACGTGACGTATGAAATTAGCCCTACCGACATATAGAATAAGAATAAATAGCTTATAACCATATTATGGATAATTATTATTGGAATGCACGCTACTATCTCTCTCTTTTTCTAAAATACACATAATTTTCAGGCATAATATATTAAATTAATTACTTCATTTTATAATGTTTATCAGACAAAGTTGTGTTTTTTGGAAGAATAAATATTTAAAAGTAACATTTCGATTATTAACATAAAACCATGTCGAAACTGAAAAATTTTCATCAAATGTAACCAAATGTGTCACGAATGCAAACAAAGTGGATAACCACGTGCATCCATATTCACAAGTTACGCCATTTAAAGTGCATTCCACGGCTTTTATTGCTCCCTCCTTCCCCTCATGGTGTTACGTAAATGTTGAATAGCGAAAAGCAGTAGTTCCGGTCGCAAAGTTCCCCTTCTTTCTCGTCGCGTCCCTCCTCTCCAAATCATTTTGTCACCTAATACGAGCCTGGACACCGAATACGCACGTTACCGTGAACGGTAGTATAATATTAATACGATATTAATATCATATATCTTTGCATTAGCGATTCCGGTATCGTGTTTCTATCAATTTTAAACCGCTTGGTGTAATGTCGATATTTGTTAAATTAATAATTCGTTCTAATGACTGATATCGGAGATCGCGCGCATATATTTCCCGCGAACACACCGTCATTTCGGTTTGTTACATATCGCGTTATTAACAACAAGCACATTATTTCCGTGCGACGCCCCGAGCGTCCCGCTGCCGGAATATTTCTCAACAAAATTAATCTCGCTTGAATTCAACGTAAATATAACTCGCGTGTGCGCGCAGTTTTCTCGACGGTAGCTCTCGCAATCGCGCCCGCTTCGAAATGTCACATTGCGCCGCGAATTACTTCATTTTCTCGCGAGACGATTACTCTCGCGCGGAGGAGGAGAGCTCCTCCGGCGTCTCGTGCTCTCCGCTGGCCCATCTCGTCTGTTTATTACGCAAACATAAATATTAATATTAATTCTGTGTACACGCGCCCCGTACCGCGCACGTAGGTGGATCGCAGTTATTGTTTCTCCATTTCGCGTGCGCCACGCGCGCACTGCGAGCAGCACGTCGGGCGCGCATAATCGATTCCGTACGCGCGTCATGATGGATGACTTCGGAAGAGGTACTTGGCGGGGAGGTAAATAAACATTTTGCGTTGCAAATATCGCTTAAAGCTATACCGCTATTGATCGATTCGCCACCGGTCGCCGATCGACAGCTGCTGCGGCGGCGTCAGCGTTAGGTAGGAAGCGCGATAAGCAATATCAGCCCGGAACGAGTCGTAGCTATTTCGCCGTGAATAAAGGCAACCTGCTTGTGAAGTGTAAAAAGAGGTCAGTCTTGTAATTTTACGTCACGCACACGTGCGCGCTGCACTCTCTTCCTCTTGACGCGTGATTTCCTTTTTCCCCACTCACTCTACCCCCCTCTCTCTCTTTCTCTCTTTTTTTCTTTTTTTACGAGCAGTTGGTTTTCCAGTAATAAAAATTCCTCCGAATTGCATCTCACGCGAGATATTACGCGGCCGCCGTGTTAGTGGGGAAAAGGGCGAGGGGAGTTCTCCCTGAAGCAAGTGTTACCCAGCCGCGGCGTTGATCGACCGATGGCAGGGCGCCAAGAGGAACTATCGCGATAACACGGCGGAACACAGCGCGGGAGAATGCCCTAGGAAGGGAATAAAATTGGTCGAACGCGCCGCCCGATAAATGCATCGCGCGCCTGGAAGAGGCGAGAGATGAAATTCAAGACTTTGCATGAACGAGGGCAGGGGGAGGGGAGCGGCCGTCTCCTTCGCGCTCGTCCGCGAACAAATGAGACCTGCCGGACCGCGTCGATGCTCGAGGGGCTGTACGCGAGTTTCGTATTCGATCGTACCCGCGATATTTCACGTTCGAAGCTTCTCGCTGCCGCAAATCGCGCGCGCTTTACGTAACGCGCTGCTCGATATCAAACGCTGTTGTGTCAGCGATTCTTTCCTTCTCTCGTGGATCTTTCTCTCCGTTCCGAGAAAGCGAGCCAGGTGTGAGAACTAAGGCCTTATACCGAACAAGCTAGTACAATCCTACTTACTTTATGTTACCAGTCGTTGTCGGAAGACTAGTTTGTTTGAACAAAATCACAAAACGCTATGCTTCACCAGCGTGTATGGAGATGCATCAGAATACCGATCCGGTCGACCCAATCTTGTTAGACGAAGGTTAATTAGAACGGTCGGACCGCACTGTTTGCTGTGTGAGAGTGAGAGAACAAGAGTTTCTTGAGTATCGAAGAGGAATTACGCCTTAAGCGGTGTCGGAATAGCGTTAACTTGGTCGATCGTGCAAAAAGGGGTTATTGCGAGCTCTCGTTACAATAGCTGGAGGAGAACAGCCGGCATTCACCGCGAGAGAATAGAAGTGGGACGTGCGGTTGATTTTTCTCGTCACGAACGAAAGGGATGAACGAGGTCCCGTCTCGGGGGAGACGTCGTGTATAGCGGGAAGAGTACTCGGTCGTCACAATTGTAACTTTAATTTCTCGAGGCGACTATCCCGATGCCCGCGCGAGAGAGGTCGTAGTCATGGGTAGGGACTCGAGCGGAACGACGACGGTCGCGCAAGGGGAAGAAAGTGGCGACGGGGGTGGCGCGGGAGAGTAGCAGCTTCCTTCGTA